AGACTCGGGAGGCGGGCACCGAAGTCGTGCCCGAGACCCGAGAGGCGGATGCCCAGGCAGTACCCGAGACAGGGGAGGCTGGAGTGGAGGTGGTCCCTGACACCGTTGAGGTGGACACGTGGGTGACCGAGGCGCTGCTGGGGCTGCCTGAGGCTGCAGAGCGTGAGCTGGAGATGCTTCACGCCAGCTTGGAGCATCAGCGCGGGGTGAGCGAACTCTTGCGGGGCCGATTGAGGGAGCTGGAGGAGGCCCACGAGGCTGCAGTGACCCGGCCTCAATCTCGAGAGGTGGCCACCCAGACGGAATTGGGTTGCACGGAGAAGACCACGCAGACCGAGCTCCTATTGGAGAACCAGCCCAGGCCCATGGCTGGAGACGAGGTGGCCCCTGCTGGTGAGTTTCCACTCCTGGTTGAACCCTGGCCTGCCAGGTTGCTGAAGTCAAACTCAGTGCCCTTATATGATTCCCTGCCAGGCATCCTCAAATCCATCATGAAGAAAAAAGACGGTACTCCGGGTGCCCAATCCAGTCAGGGACCCAAGAGTCTGCAGTTCGTTGGGGTCCTCAACGGAGAGTGAGCGCTTCCCTCCCTTTTCCCACGATAGCAGCCTCAGGGACACAGGCTATTAATTCCAGCTCTGCCCCTCTGCTCCTGGTCTGGCTTTGGCGGTCCTCGATTTCTTCATTTTTAAAATGCCACTCTCACCTCAGGTCTCCCGAATGAACCCACAGGGGAGGCTCACCAGATGCCTCCCGTCCTGTTCCTAGGTATGAGAGCTCCTCCAGCGAGGATGCCAGCGACAGTGACAATGAAGATGGTGTCGCCGAACTCCCCAGGAGTAGCTCTTCCGGCTCAGGAGATGATAGTGGGGGATCTGATGCTGGAACTCCTGGCCCCCCTAACGTCCAAATCCAAGACATGGAGGATTCTGAACTTGAGCCACAGCTGGAGCCGAAGGCAGGGACAGAAGAGAGGTGAGCGCTCCCCTTTCCAAAGGTCTGTAGTGCAGATACCCTCTCTCCTGGGCACCGTTGCCCAGGACCCTGAGTCTGGACTGGCCTCCCTGGCAGGTGTGAACTGAGCCCGCGTTTGAGGGAAGCGTGCATTGCTCTGAATCGGCAGCTGATCAGGCCCCGTGGTGTCACCAGAGATGCCGTGAGTGTGGGCCCTACTCTCCCCTCTGATATCCCCTTAGTGAATGTGCAGGGTCTCCTAGAGCACGAGTACCAACTTTGGTACTCCCTCACTAGAGACCTTCCATGATCCTAAGCTCTCCAAAGAGAAATCCGCCCCCAAGGACAGCTCTGACCTTTCCTTGAACTGCCCACCCACAGCCCCAAGTAAAGATCAGAGCCCCAGACCCATTCCATGAAACTTCGAGAGAAAGTGGGTACTCACTGCTACACTCACTCCTGGTCCTCTATTTCCCAATGTAGTCTTATTCCTTGAGCCTGCAAACCTCATCGGCTTTACTTCCTTCTCGAAGAGGGTGTGGTCCTAGCTCTCTTCTTAGAAAGCATTGGCCTTGCTTGCTTGCCAGGATCACCAGAGGGTCTTCAACACACACTCTTCTGCCCCCCCCCTTAGGGTCTTACACACACACACACACACACACACACACACACACACACACACCCTCTGGCCCCTCCCTTCTTTTATCGGCATTGATGCCTTCTTTGCCCCTGTCCTGTCAGAACGCAGCACGCCTTGTGGCCCAGGAGTGGTTTCGAGTGTCCAGCCAAAAGCGCTCTCAGGCTGAGCCTGTGGCAGGGGTGCTCCGAGGAGTGAAGAGCCTGGGGCCTGAGCTGCTGGCTCATGTGGTGAACCTGGCCGACGGCAATGGAAACACGGCCCTGCATTACAGCGTGTCTCATGGGAATCTGGCCATTTCCAGTCTACTGCTGGATACAGGTCAGGGGATCGGGTTGTGGAAGAGAGGGCCGGGGTGGGTGAATCGCTGTACATTTGGTCAGTTTCACTATGACTACCTACATTGTTTTCTCAAACAACTTCCCATTGACCCTGGAGCTGTTTGGCCAGCAAGTCCCACCTGTTTCCATCTCCCCAGCCTTGGGGTTACAGACATGTCACAGTGCTCAACTTTATGAGGGTGCTGGGGATCCGGATCTTCAGGCTGGCAGTGAGTGCTCTAGCCCCTCTGAGCACCCAGACTTTATTTGCTATGTAGCCCTTGCCTGTCTCCCATGGGTGCAAAGCCCCTTTGACCTCATTGTATCTTCAGCCGTCCTTAGTCGACTCCCCTGACCCCCACAATAACACCCAGCTTTGAAATCAGAGACCTCAATTGACACCCCTCCCTGGGCATGCTGTATTCTCATTCTCTGGATCTGCGCTTTTTTCTTTCTTTTTTTTTTTTTTTTTGAGACAGGGTCTATGTAGCCCTGGCTGGTCTCGAACTCGAAGATCCATCTGTTTCTGCTGGGATTAAAGGCATGTGTCACCATGCCCGATTACTTCTGAGTTCTTGGGTTCCACTATCTGTCCTGGGGTGGGGGTGCTCACTGCTTAGTTTTCTGACTATCACCAAGTAGTTAGTTGTATTGTTACCTACCTCCCTGCTTTTTCAGCCCTGCCTCGAAGCACACACACCTGGATATGTGTAACTCCTCTGGGTGCTCAGTTGCAAGTCTCATTTCACGTTCACATCAGCATGACACACAGCAAAAAAAAAAAAAAATAATTAAAAAAACTCTTGTTTTGAGAGTCTCACTGTATAGCTCTGACTATTCTGGAACTTGCTCTGTAGACCAGGCTGGCCTCAAATTCAGAGGTCTGCCTGCCTTTGTGTCTGTTGAGTGCTTGGGACTAAAGGTGTATGCACCACCACCTGGCCGGTAAACTTTTTAATTCTTTGAGACAAGGCTCACTGTGTAGGCCTGGAAATATGTAGGGCAGGCTGGCTTTGAACTTGTGGCCATCCTCGTCTCTATTAAGCTGTGGTTACATACCTTGCAAAATCTCCAGTGTTGAAGTCTGTGTCCTTACTCTTGTAAAGCACTCGTGAGTAAATAGCTGTTGGATGCAGCTGAGCAGGACAATTAGCAAATAAAAACAAGAGGGACAGGGACAGAGGGAACACCTGCCTGGGAAGAGCAAAGGCTAACCCATGCGTCTGTCTCTCTGGGGCTGTGGGGCAGACTACAGGGCTGTACTGGCTGCCAGCCACACTCGTGTGCGCACGCACTTGGTGGACGGACTAGGGGTGTAGCTTTACTGGTAGAGTTTTTGCCCAGCACTCTCAGTCCTGGGGAGGTGGAAACAGAACAAGGTCATGGTCCATCCTTGTCTGTTGTCAGCCTAGGCGGGGATCTCAAAAGTTGGCTGATAGCCAGGCGGTGATGGTGCACACCTTTAATCCCAGCACTCAGGAAGCAGAGGCAGGAGATTTCTGAGTTCAAGGCCAGCCTGGAAAGCTACATAGAGCAACCCTGTCTCCAACCCTCCCTCCCTCCAAAAAGTTGGCTGACCCACCATCTGTGATGTAGGAGACCCCTCCCCCCATCTGAGGCTTGAAATGACAGACCTTTCTTCTTCCCAGGGGTCTGTGATGTCAATCATCAGAATAGAGCCGGCTACTCTGCACTCATGTTGGCTGCACTTACTTCTGTAGGGCAGCAGGAGGAAGACATGGCTGTGGTCAAGAGACTTTTCAGCATGGGTGATGTCAATGCCAAGGCTAGCCAGGTGCATAGAACATCCCCACTCACAACGGGTGGGTAACACTGTCACTTTCTACTTTCAAAGCCATGGACCTCTTTTCCTTACTTTTCCAGACTGGACAGACAGCCCTCATGCTGGCTATCAGTCACGGCCATCAGGACATGGTGGCTGCCTTGCTGGAACGTGGGGCTGATGTCAACATACAGGATGCAGATGGGGCCACAGCACTGATGTGTGCCAGCGAATATGGACGCCTTGATACAGTTCAGTTGCTGTTGGCCCAGCCAGGCTGTGACCTCACCATCTTAGACAACGTGAGCCACTACGAGGGCCTGGAGTAATGGCATTGTGTCTCCCTGTGCCCCAGGTACCTAATGTCCTATTATTTCTCAGGAGGGGACAAGTGCCCTGGCCATTGCTCTGGAGGCTGAACAGGATGAGGTGGCAGCACTGCTCCATGCCCACCTGACTTCAGACCACCATGGTTCCCAGGTAAGTGCAGTCTCTAAGAAAGACATATGCCAACAACCTTCAGAAGCCTCCTTTCCAGAACGAGAGAATGTCTGAATTCCACTGTAAAGCTACGATTTGATGCTTAACTAGCAAAGTCAGAGGTAAACACAACCTTAGGTTAGGGTTATCCTAGAAAAGGAGCCTTTTGCTGTAGGAAGTTTGCCCTGCCAGAGAACATACCCTATGGGTAGAGCATCGGACAGCAAGTGCTAGGCTTATTCTCAGCATTTCTGTGACTAATCCACCCAACTGGTCCCACTCATCACACACTCACCCTAATGTAAAGTGGGAAAGGAGGTCTAAGTGGATTCAGTCCAGGGAACCTGGCTCTATAGGAATGGGATGTTTCCTACATCTACAACATGCCCCCCCCTCTTTGTTCTAGGGCCAGTGACCCCCAGGGTCAGGAACAACCAGCTAAGGGATGCCATGACAAACGAGGGGACTCAACCAGCACTACCTACACCTGGATGCTTTCCTTATGCCTGACCTTCGGAATCACAGCAGGGCACTTTGTGTAGACGCCGAGTAATGACACAGCTCTCAGCCCACTCACAAACACCTTTCCTAATAAAGCATTTCTACTGAACTTGTGTTTTGTGTGGATGGCAGTGGTAGGACACACACACACCCTATCTTAAGTGCAAGATACATGTATGAAAGGATAGAGTATACAAAGAGTAAATGATCACTGAGGCTATAAAGCAAAGACGCTGCCCAGAGAAACTCCATCCAGAAGGATTCCAAGTTCTAGGCCAGCCTCAGCTACCAGAGGAGCAGGAAAAAAAACCTACCCAGACAATAGTTAAAATACAAATGCTTTATTCAATAGTTGCATGTCATCATGGGCCAAGTGGTGGATATCCAGGACCCTGTAAACAGAAGCAAACATTAGATAACCTTTCCTCACCTCCCAGCAAGTGGCAGTCCTTCCCAAGGGGGCCATGTACCCACCAGCAGCAAGGTCAGCGTAATCTCCGAGCCTCTCTTTCTGACTCCAATAGGGTGAGCACATCACCTTCTCGAACAGGGCCTTTGACGTTTCGAATGATGGAACGGCTGGTGTCATCCATAAATTCCACACGCACCTATGGACCCATTAGAAGAGTTAGGTGCTGCTGCTTGCTAGTGGGGAGGAAAGGTGACAGGGACCCAAGGATCACGTAGAGATATCTGTTTGGGGCAAGTGAGTTGGTTCAGCAGTTTTACGAACATGTAGCTTCATTTCCCAGCAGGCACACTGCTGGCTAACAGCTTATAACTTCAGTTCCAGGGGGGAATCTCGACCCCCGTTTATTTTCTGGACACTCTATCAAGTGGTAGAGACATAAAGTGGAACCCTCGACAGGAACCTGGGACAGTTAAAGGGCTTACATCAGAACTTAAGAAGCGGTACATCCGGATTGCTGGAAGGTCTGTGATCCCGGGTGACCCTAGAACACCAAAGTGGTGTGCCTTTTTGCTTCTCTAACAGGCGTTTTCTCAGATTGGCCTTGAATGCCCGCTTCTACTCCAATTCCTAAGATCACAAGTGTGCAATAGCATACCTAATTTTTTGTCTCTCAGTCAGGGTCTCAACTCTGTACCCTAGCCTGACCTTGAACCCGTGATCCTTCTGGAATTACACCACCACTCCAACAAACCCCTTCCCCACCTCCAGTGTTTTGGATTATATCCCTGGGCCTCCCACTTAGACTATGCTAGGCTGGCCCAGAAATAGGCAATCCAGCTACTTTAGTTTCTTCAGTAAGTTACGATGGAAACATAGGTATAAACCAGATCTTTTCTTTCCCCAGGAGAGCAATCAGGGAATCATTAGCCCAGGCTGGCCTCCTAATGACATAAGACACACCCCACCATTCTTGGTTTATGTGGTGCAGGGAACCCAAACCCTGCATGCTAGGCAAGTGCTCTACCAAATGTGCCCCCAATTTTTTCGGAACCAGATCTCACTCATCCTGGAACTCCCAGGGATCTTCCTGTTTTAGACTCCTGACATTTCAGTCTTTTAAAAAAATACAATTTTCAAAGACATTCTCACTAAGATATCCAGGTTGACTAGTCTAAGGATTCAGGCATGCTTGCCTGCCCCTAGCAGAATGCCTTCAGTGCCCTGGTCAGTCCAGGGTTCCAGCGGAGTCTGCACGTAGGTGCAAAGGACCCCTTGCCCACTTACACCCTTTCCTGCGGTCCCCCTGGGGCAGGCAGGGCTTTTCCTGCCTCCCTTTTCTCCTCTGTCCTCTTTTTTCTCTTCCCTTTCTAATAAAACTTCTCACTAAGCTGCGTCTGCCTGGCGTGTTTGTGCCCCGCCTGCCATGGAATTCACAAGGTCCCCACCACGCGCTTTGCCGAAACAGCTACCAAGTTCTGCCACTAGCAGCTTGGATCGGAGGCCACCAAATCCAGTAGTAAGCTGGGTATTCAGGAGGGCTCAGACCCCAGGAAGTCGCCCGGGTGTCCCCATCCGCTCACCTGCGTGCACTGTCCCTGCGAGCCGGTCCTGCCCAGCACTTTGGTTACCTGCGGGAGAGAACGGACAGTTAGACCCGACAGGCCCAGCTTCCTTCCTTCTCCTTCACCCAGGCTTCTAAACGCCCGCAAGTCGCCTCACCCTAGCCAGCTTGATGGGCTGCACGCGACTCGTGTCCATGATGGCGGCGATCTGGCCGGAGAGGAGTCACGTGAGCAGCGGAACGCTTTTATAGCGCGCTCGTGACCACGCCCCGCTCTCCCTCCCCCGCCCACCTCCCCGCTCTCGCGAGGCCGCACGCGCTACCCAGCAGCCCTCGGGGGCACAGTCGTCGCCGACGTCCTTCGGAGCGGAAGCAACAACATGGCGTCTGCCACTCGCATCATCCAGAAGCTGCGGAACTGGGCGTCTGGGGTGCGTGTTCCGGTCCGCTTGGCGCCGGGCAGGAGTTGGGCTCTGCGCTGCCCCGAGTCCTCTCCCGCTCGACATCAGTGGGGAGTGCAGGATCCCTCCGTTTGTGACTCCTGAACGTTTGGGCAGGCGTCCCGGGATTCCCTCGTCCCCACCCACACCTTGGCTTTGGATTGCCGGGCTTTAGCTTCCTCCTGCCCTCCTCCTCTCCCGCCCTGCTCTCTCAGCCCGGGAGTCTCCTCGTCCCCGCGTCTGAGCTTGGAGTCTTGTGGCCGTAGCTTTCTCCTGTTGAGGAGAGTCGAGGGCGAGTTTTTTTTTGAGGTTTCGGAAGGAAACGGAGAGGTCAGGGTAGCTGTAGCTTTTGTCAGCTCCCCGGAGATAGGCGGTTGGAGACGGACGAGAGGGAGGGAGGTAGCTGTGCCTTTTAAGTTAGGGTTCGAGAAGGGAGGAATATGCCAGCACCGGTCAGCAAGCAACTGTTCACGTGTGTGGGAAAGTAAGAATGTCCGTGTTAGGGCAAGCATGTTTAGCATGCTGACCCATATCCAAAGAGGATAAAGGGAGAAAGAGGGAGGCTCTTAAAAGTTCGGTCCTTGGAAAGGCTCGAAAACGTAGCAGTAAAGTTGTATAAGCCGCTGCCCCCCCCCCGGCTGTCTTCTTCCCGACTAGACGCCCCCGCGCACTAACCCAGTCCTGGGGTTCGTACCAGTCTGACCTCTCCTGTCCTCCTCCCCCCACAGCAAGACCTGCAGGCGAAGCTGCAGCTGCGCTACCAGGAGATCGCCAAGCGGTGAGCAGGCCCTGCCTACTGCCAGCCTCACCCCCTTCCCCCCAATTCATCCTGTCGTTCTTCCACCAAAGCTAACTCCGAGGCTGGTCATGGTGGTACAACCTCTAGTCTCAGCACTGAGGAGACAGAGGCAGGCTGATTACCGTCAACTCGAGGCCTACTTGATTTACATGGTGAGACCCTGTCTGAAAAACAAACAAATGAAGAGAACAAACAAAACAGAACAAAAAGAAAACCCGACCTCAAGTTTGTTACTCCTGAACTTTCCTTGGAACATTAGGCAGACATCCTTCTTGTCCGGCTGTGGAAGCAGAGATTTACTCTTAACTTCATTGGATTGCCTTGTAATAGTTAGGCGGTAGATTGCATTATTTGTTGGTATCTCGGGGTAGATTTGCAGTCTTCGTTGTGACTCTACACTTTAAACGTTACATTCTCAAGCTGCTGCTGAGGGGAAATGAGATCCAGGCAGACCGTTACTGCTTCAAGTCCCTTAGGGACCTGCCTTGAGTTTTGAATACATTTATGTATCGAGGAGTCTTTGTCATGTGCTCAGACTTTTGGATGCCGGAGTAAACAAGAAAATTCTCGGTTTGTGGAGTTGGTGGCTTTAGCACTGGCAGGACCACACCTCACTTTGCTGGGTTCAGAATGAGCCCCTCTGTGAAAACTCAGCAGAAGCCTAGGGGAGCACTCAACCTGGCCCCAAACTTGTCATGTAGCCCAGAGTGTACCCTGACACTGATCCTGCTTCTGCCTCAAGTGCAGGAGTTCCAGGAGTGTACCACCATACCAGGGTTATGTGGTGCTGGGAACAGTGTCATGCATGCTAAACACTTTATCAACTGGGTTACAGCTTAAATCCTTACTCATCCTTTTTTCTTAAAAATAGTTTTAGATGTGTGTGCGCGTGTCTGTGTCTGCATGTGTAAATGTTGTGCCTGTATGAGTGTATGTGTATCGTGTGTGCCTGGTACCTGTGGCGTTGAGAAGAGAGCACGAGATCCTCTGGAAGTAGAGTTACAGATGGCTGTGCGTTGTTACCATGTGGGAATCAAATCGTGGTTTTCTGTTAGAGCAACAGTGCTCTACCCACTGAGCCATGTCAACAGCCCTCTGGCCTTATTCCTTCTGTGGATATTGTCTGGGAGGGGGAAGTGTTGCAGGGAAGTAAATGCAGCATGCACCTTCCCACTTTATTCATTTATTTATTCATTCATTCATTTATCTAATTATGTATGTATGTATGTATGTATGTATGTATGTTTTATTGAGACAGGCCTTTATATGTTAGCCCGAGCTAGTCTCTAACTCTGATCTCCTGCCTGCCATATGCTGGGAATGTGTTAGTATTCCTGTCCAGAGGCAGGGTCTTAAGAGTCCTGGTTGACAGCCGGGCGGTGGTGGCGCACGCCTTTAATCCCAGCACTCGGGAGGCAGAGGTGGGCGGATCTCTATGAGTTCGAGACCAGCCTGGACTACCAAGCGAGTTCCAGGACAGCCTCCAAAGCCACAGAGAAACCCTGTCTCGAAAAACCAAAAAAAAAAAAAAAAGAGTCCTGGTTGACTTGGAACAAACACACTTAAATAGCCCAGGTATCCTTGAACTCAATCCTCTAGGGAATTACAGGCCAAGAATTAGCATCTTCTTTAGGATAAGGGCGCCCTCTAGTGATTCATTTGGGTATTGGCCTTAGACTGGTTCTTTTTACTTTGCTGTGTACAGCAGCTTTCACTCTCTTCAGGCAAATTTTAAATTTCAAATACTGTTTATTCTTTTATAACTATAATGGCCATTTTTTCTTTTCAAAATTACTGCATTTATTGTGTGTGTGAGAGTGTGTGTTTGTGTGTGTGTGTGTTTGTGTGTAGGTTAGGGAAAAACTTGTGGGAGTTGTTCTTTTTTCCTCCATTTGGATCCTGGAGATTGAATTTAGTTCGTCAGGCGTGGTTGCAAGCACCTTTACACAATGAGCCGTAATACTGGCTACAATGTAAGACCCTCCCTCTGGAAGGTATTGTAACACATTCCCAGCCAACCCAGCACATGGCAGGCAGGAGATCACAGACACTAGCTCCGGCTAACATAAAAAGACCTGCCCCAATAACAAATAAAAAACAAATAGATAGATTAAATAAGTATTTAAAAAAATCATTAAAAAGGTGCATGCTGCATTTACTTCCCTGCAACGCTTCCCCCTCCCAGACAATATCCACAGAAGGAATAAGGCCAGAGGGCTGTTGACATGGCTCAGTGGGTAGAGCACTGTTGCTCTAACAGAAAACCACGATTTGATTCCCACATGGTAACAACGCACAGCCATCTGTAACTCTACTTCCAGAGGATCTCGTGCTCTCTTCTGAACGCCACAGGTGCCAGACACATCTTGCTTTGTTTTCCTTTAAAAAAAATTATTATTTTGTGTGTGTGTCTGTGTGTCTGTGAACCACATGCATGCAATATCCTGGAGGCTAGAAGGCATTGGATACCCTGGAACTGGAGTTGGGAACAGTTGTGAGCTGGGAGTTGCTCTTGGGTCTTCTGCAAGAACAAGTGCTAACCATTGTGCCATCTCTCCAGCCACACACTGTCGCAGCTCAGGCTGTCCTGGAAGTTGTTATTTGGCCAGGCTTCTCTTGAGCTCTAGACACCCCCTCCTCCTTGGTCATTTGAATAATGAGTCTATACCCAGTGCCCAGCTAGTCTCTCATTTTTTCTTTTCCACTTAATTTAAAGAATGTTTTTGGAAAGAAAAAGAATGTTTTTGGCGGAGTGGTGGTAGCACATGCCTTTAATTCCGTCACTCAGGAGGATCTCTGAGTTTGAGGTGAGCCTGGTCTACATAGTGAGCTCCATGGTAGCTAGGACTGTTACACAGAGAAACTATGTCTTAAAAACAAAAACAAACTTTTTTTTCTTTTGTGTGTGTGTGTGTGTGTGTGTGTGAGAGAGAGAGAGAGAGAGACAGAGACAGAGACAGTTTCTCTATGTAGCCCTGGATATCCTGGAACTTGCCTGTCTCTCCCTTCTGAGTACTGGGATAAAAAGCATGCATCACCATGCCTGGCTAACTTCAGGAAATTTTAAGCTAGGCTTAGTGGTGCAGGCCTTTAATCCTAGGTCTGGATCTCAGAATTTGAGGCCAGCAGTCTTTGTTAACATAGAATTCCAGGACAGCCAGAGACCCTGTCTCAAGAGAAAAAAAAGATGTATTTATGTGTGTACGTGTCTGGGCGTGTGTGTGGGACTGCCTGTGTGAATGCAGAGGCCAGGAGAAGGCAGTGGGTCCCTGGAGTTACAGGCATTTGTGGGATGCCCTGCTTGTTATGTGTGTGCTGGATCTGCACTGCGTTCCTTAAGATTGTATAGCACTCACTCTTAAAAGCTGAGCCACTCTGTAGCCCTTGTTGTTGTTGGTTTTTTATTTTATTTTATTTTTTTTGGTTTTTCGAGACAGGGTTTCTCTGTGGCTTTGGAGGCTGTCCTGGAACTAGCTCTTGTAGACCAGGCTGGTCTCGAACTCACAGAGATCCTCCCGCCTCTGCCTCCCGAGTGCTGGGATTAAAGGTGTGCGCCACCAACGCCCGGCTAGCCCTTGTTTTTTATTTTTGAGACAGTATCACATAGCCCATGCTGACCTGTAACTCATATTGTCTAAAATGACCTTGAGCTGATTCTCTTCTACTTCTCAAGTACACTGACCTCCCTCCCTCCCTCCCTCCCTCCCTCCCTCCCTCCCTCCCTCCCTCCCTCCCTCCCTCCCTCCCTCCCTCCCTCTTTTTCTTTTCTCCAAGACAGGGTTTCTCTGTGGCTTTGGAGGCTGTCCTGGAAGTAGCTCTTATAGACCAGGCTGGTCTTGAACTCAGAGATCCGCCTGCCTCTGCCTCCTGAGAGCTGGGATTAAAGGCGTGTGCCACCATCCCTCGGTGACATGTTTCTTATTTAAAGACTAAAATGGTTTTTTTGTTTTTTTTGGATTTTTGAGACAGGGTTTCTCTGTATTGTTTTGGAACCTGTCCTGGAACTTACTTGGTAGACCAGGCTGTTCTCGAACTCAAAGAAATATGCCTGCCTCTGCCTCCAGAGTGCTGGAATTAAAGGCCGTGTGCCACCAACACCCGGCGTCATTCAAATTTTTAAGAACTTAAAATTGCCAGGGAAAAATACTTTTTGACATGTGGCCAAATAAACAAATAAAACCCCAAACTTTTTATGATCATCCACTCTTTGTCCCAGGAAATTCCGATTTTGTTTGAAGCTCAGTGTTTCCTTTCAAGGCCTTAGATTTCTTGGTAAGCCTAAAGTTTAACCCAAGGCCGGACTGAGCTTTGTTTCATGTAACCCGTTCACTTCCCTCTACAGGGAATTTTGGCAGCAGACCACACAGTGGCAGGAAGTGCAGAGACTTGGACAGGTTCCCAGGGCAAGGTGTTCTTTGAGTAGTAAACCTTTATCCCAATAGGGCTCTTCAAAGGGTTCCTGAGATAATAGGGAGCTCACAAGTTCCATAGCCTGGTCTTGGGGGTGGGGGATGGGGGTGGGGTGAGGGGAGAGCCACTTCAGTTGAGTAATCTGGGGCTGTGGCTCGGTGTTACGAACTGTGATTGCTGGATAAGGGGTGGTCACAGCTTGGCACTCTGAACTGATTTCCTGAACACCTACCTGAAGGTGGAGGGAAGGCCACTGCAAAGCTTAGTCTTGTGTGGGGGATGGGAACATGTCTAGGCTCTCCTTGTCTTGGAAACTTCAGGAAGGGTCCTCTGTAGAGAGAGACTTAGGGCGGCTGGGCTTAAGCATACTTCCTCAGCCTGGCTTTGAAGATGTTTTCATAGAGATAAGTGTCTGCTCCTTGCTTTCCTGTCCCAGACCTACATGTGTAATGTGACTGTGTATGACAAGCCTCTGGCCTACAGCCTTTGTAGGTCCCGATTCTCAGTCTTGAAAATGAGCTGTGGCGTGAGAGCTGCTGAAGGTTTCAATGCCTGCATCTTTTTCCTCAGGACCCAGCCACCTCCTAAGCTCCCTGTGGGCCCCAGTCACAAGCTGTCCAACAATTACTACTGCACTCGTGATGGCCGCCGGGAAGTTGTGCCTCCCTCCGTCATCATGTCTTCACAGAAGGCCCTGGTGTCGGGCAAGCCAGCTGAGAGGTGAGGACCTCTGTCTGCCCTGCCCACAACTCTGCAGCATTCCCTTCTGCCACTGGCCTTTCCTCCCCTGTAGGTGGAAAAAGGTGCTTCCCACAAACCCGTTTTATCAGCTAGGTGTGGTCGGACAGGCATGTGATCCCTGCACTCAGAAGGCTGCAGCAAGAGAATCAGTTCAGGCCAGGGCTGAGAATATAGCTCACTTAGTAAGCCCCTTGCCTTGTAAGCACTGAGACCCGAGTTTGATCCCCAGAATCCACATTAAAAAAAGCAAGGCCTGGTAGTGTGCTTGTAATCCCAGTGTTGGGGAGGTAAAGGCAGACTGAGGCAAGTAAGATGTCTGAGTGGTAAGGTACTTGATGACTTGAGATTGATGGCCTGGGTCCATGTGCTGGAAGCAGAGACTTGATGCCTGCAAATTGTTTTCTGACTTCTACACATGTGCCGTGGCATGCCCCCATCCCCAGTAAATTAATCCAAAAATAACTATGATGATAAAAGAACCCCAAAGTAACCAAGAGAAAAAAAGCCTATTTGGTTCTTGTTCTCAGGTGCTAAATGAGGGTGACAGTAGTATTTCATAAGGTTCATAGAAAGCCATGGTCTGGAATGAGTTTCTGCACTAGATCCAGCAGGCTAAGACAGAACAGACACTTACAAATTAGCTGTTTATCTAGCCTTCTGAGAAACCAGGTGAAAGATCACAGCAGTTCCCTGGCAAACCAGTTTTAGCTGGCAGGATACAAAAGTCCCCTCTGGTTTAGTCTTTGTAAGGAAGGTAACTTTGAACTGACCAGTCTTTGTTTGGCTTCTGCTTCCTTCAGCCCTTTCATGTCTATAAAGCCAACCTCTTCTGCTGTATTTATCAATTTTTGTTTTGATTCAGAGAAAGAGGCGTGAGGATTGGCAATATTTTAGTATATAAGAGCACTTGCTGATCTTGCAGAGGACATGGGTAGGGTTCCCATGGCAGCTCTTAACTTTAACTCCAGATCCAGGGGATCTAATGCCCAATTCTGGCTCTATAGGTACCAAACATTGCAAGTATAGACAAATTACCTATACACATAGACATATCCATACACATAGACACATCCATACACATAGACGTATCCATACACATAGACGTATCCATACACATAGACACATCCATCCAAATAGACATACTGATACACATAGATGTATCCATACACATGGACACATCCATACACATAGACACACCCATACACATGGACACATCCATACACATAGACACACCCATACACATGGACACATCCATACACATGGACACATCCATACACATGGACACACCTATACACATAGACGTATCCATACACATAGACACACCCATACACATAGACACACCCATACACATAGACACACCCATACACATAGACATACTGATACACATAGACACACCTATACACATAGACACACCTATACACATAGACGTATCCATACACATAGACACATCCATACACATGGACACATCCATACACATAGACACACCCATACACATAGACACACCCATACACATAGACACATCCATACACATAGACACACCCATACACATAGACACATCCATACACATAGACACACCCATACACATGGACACATCCATACACATAGACACACCTATACACATAGACACACCTATACACATAGACGTATCCATACACATAGACACATCCATACACATGGACACATCCATACACATGGACACATCCATACACATGGACACACCCATACACATAGACATACTGATACACATAGACACACCTATACACATAGACACACCTATACACATAGACACATCCATACACATAGACACATCCATACACATAGACACACCCATACACATAGACATACTGATACACATAGACACACCTATACACATAGACACACCTATACACATAGACACATCCATACACATAGACACATCCATACACATAGACACACCCATACACATAGACATACTGATACACATAGACACACCTATACACATAGACACACCTATACACATGGACACATCCATACACATAGACACATCCATACACATAGACGTATCCATACACATAGACGTATCCATACACATAGACACATCCATCCAAATAGACATACTGATACACATAGATGTATCCATACACATGGACACATCCATACACATGGACACATCCATACACATGGACACATCCATACACATGGACACACCTATACACATAGACGTATCCATACACATAGACACACCCATACACATAGACACACCCATACACATAGACACACCCATACACATAGACATACTGATACACATAGACACACCTATACACATAGACACACCTATACACATAGACGTATCCATACACATAGACACACCCATACACATAGACACACCCATACACATAGACACACCCATACACATAGACATACTGATACACATAGACACATCCATACACATAGACACATCCATACACATAGACGTATCCATACACATAGACGTATCCATACACATAGACACATCCATACACATAGACGTATCCATACACATAGACACATCCATACACATAGACGTATCCATACACATAGACACATCCATACACATAGACATACTGATACACATAGACACACCTATACACATAGACACACCTATACACATAGACACATCCATACACATAGACACATCCATACACATAGACACACCCATACACATAGACATACTGATACACATAGACACACCTATACACATAGACACACCTATACACATAGACACATCCATACACATAGACATATCCGTACACATAGACATATCCGTACACATAGACATATCCGTACACATAGACACACCCGTACACATAGACATACTGATACACATAGACACACCCATACACATAGACATACCGATACACATAGACACACCTATACATGTAGACATATCCATGCACATGGACACATCCATACACATAGACGTACCCATGCACATAGAACAGAACAATAGAATGAAGCGTTAAGGACAGATGCAGTGGCACACATCTTACATCACGTACTCAGAAGGCAGGGCTGGAGATGGCTACAATTTGGAGGCCAGCCTGGTGTACATACTGAGTTGTAGACCAACCAGGACTCTGTCTCAAGCAAGCAAGCAAACCAACAGACCCAACAAAAGGGGTCTGGAGAGAGGACCCAGTGGTTAAGATTTTGTAACGCTTTTGAGGGAACAGTTCTGTTCTCAGCATCTGTGTAGATGGGCCTGCAACTTGTAGCTCCAGCTCCAGGGGATTCATTGCCCTGCACTGGATCCTACAAGTGTACGAGCTCACACATGAACCCCTCCCCACATGCCTTACATGTTACTGTAAAAAGATGCCGAGATGATGGCTCAGTTGGTGAAGTTCTTGCAGAACCTGATTTTGGCCTAGAGTCTATGGGGGAAAAGATGATTACAAGATTTACATTTGTAATCTCAGCCTCCAAAGCCACAGAGAAACCTTGTCTTGAAAAACTAAAAAAAAAAAAAAAACATTTGTAATCTCAGCATTGTGGTGGCAGAAATAGGTAGATCCCTGGACCTGCTGGCCACTTAGCCTAGGAGATGTTTTGCCTGCAAATAGATCTTTGCATCCCATGCATGCCTGTTAACTATAGAGACCAAAAGAGGGCATCTGGTCCTTTGGAACTGGAATAGAAGCTCCAGCCCCAAGATTTATTTTTTATTATTTTTAATACACGTGTGGTGTAGGTCTGTGCATAAGAGTGCATATCCCCTTGGAGGCATATGTCCTCAGAGCTCCCTGTAGAGTTACAGGTTCTTGTGAGCCACCTCATGCGTGTGTTGGGAACTGAACTTGAGTCTTCTGTAAGGACAGTAAGCTGGATTACTGCTGAGCCATCTCTCAGCCGTAATCCAGCGAGTAAGCCTGTGAGTTGTGCTGACACACACCTTTAATCCCAGTCCTTGGGGGACAGAGGCACGGAGAACTCTGGTTTGAGGCCAGCCTGGTCTACAGAGAGAGTTCCAGGACAGCCAGAGCTACACAGAGAAACCCTGTCTCAAAAAACAAAACAAAACAGCTACAGAGAAACCCTGTCTCAAAAAACAAAACAAAACAAACAAAACCAAAAAGGTTTTACTTTGTGTGTGGCTTGTATATGTGTGTGAGTGGGGAGAAGAAGAGAGGAGACAGAGAGATAGGGTGAATGGTTTACACATTACAGAGTGTGTGGAGGTCAGAGGACAGTTTTTGGGAGTTGATTCTCTCCTTTTCCCTTGTTCAGGCAAGGTTTTGTTTGTGTCTCCTGCTGTGCTGTGTGCTCAAGGCTAGTTGGCCCATGAGCTGGCTCTGCCTCTCATCACTTTGTAGGAGTGTTGGCTTACAGATGTATACCACCATGCACAGCTTTTCATGTGGGGTCTAGGGATCAAATGTAGTTTGTCAGGCTTGCACAGCAAACACTTTTACCCACTGAGCCACCTCCCAGCCAACAGCCTGTTTATTATTTTCTTTTGCTTTTTGAGACAGAGTTTGCATGTAGTCCAGGTTGGCTTTCTATTTACTATGTGTCTGAGAACTTGAATTCATAATTCCCTTACCTCCAGCTCCCAAATGCTGACAGGGATGTGCTACTACACTTGGTTTATGTGATGCTGGGGGTTGAACCCAGGGCTTTTGGCATGCAAGATAAACACTGTAGTTGTTCAGGCCATGAGGCTGGATGTCTCAGTTGGTCTTCAGTATAGGTAGGAATCTTGAAGTAGGCTCTAAATCCAGACTTGCTAATGAGAGTGCAAGCAGGTAGAGAGAGCTTCCCTTTTCCGTGTCCTCATACAGGCTGCCAGCAGAAGGTGTGGTGCACGTTAAAGGTGGGTTGTCCCACCTCTAAAGATCTGGATTAAAGGGTTATCTTCCCACATCAATGATCCAGGTTAGAAGTGTTAGAAGTGGGTCTTCTCGCTTCAAATGATTTCATTAAGAAAAACCCCTCACAGGTGTGTCCAGTCATAGCATTTTTCTCCATGCCCAGTCTTCATATTTTTAAGAGCTGGGTAGTAATGACACACATTGCTATTTTGCCTTGGTTGTCCTTGAACTCTTGGACTCAGGGGATCTAATCTAGTTGTTTGCTTTGACTCTTTTTAAGTAGTTGGTACTATAGGTGCATGTCACTTACGTACTACCCTCTCCCCCTCGTATTTTTAGATAAGGTCTTTCTATGTAGCCCAGTCTGGTTTTTTTTTTCCCCCCAAGACAGGGTTTCTCTGTGTAACAGTCTTGGCTGTTCTGGAACTCACTTTGTAGACCAGTCTGGTCTGATCTTAAGTGCTGGGATTGTCTGTTTACATGTCATACTCTGCTCCAGCACCTCAAGGGCTAGCCTTATGTCACTAGTACTGTGGCTGTGCACACCTGCTATGGAGTGTTTGTGTGGTACCTTCTCCCTGAGAGAGAACAGTGGATGACCATTACCCAGTGAATGAACGTAAAGACATGACAGCTCCTAGGTATGGGTCAGGAGGTTTTGATGTAGATATGAGGGAGAATGCAGCCAGAGGCATCTGGAAAGGTACAACAGAACATGGCCGGAACAGACTGGGCCACGAGAGGAGGAGAAGAGAAGGGACCTGGACCAGAGAGGGAGGCAGATCCAGTGGAGCCAGGAGACTGCTTGGCATAACCGGCTGGGTTGTGTTGGAAAGGAAAGCTGGGAGAAGGGAAGTGAAGCTCAGGGGCTGGAGAGGCTTAGGATGGGGGTGGGGTGGGGGGGTGAGAGCGTGGGGGTGAGAAATGAGGAGTCTAGGGAGCCTGGCCCCAGAGGGGCTTTGATATGTTAGTAGGCACCTCAGTTAGCCATTGTCACAGGTTTCTTTGGGACCTAACACAGTATCCTGCTCTGGAGTTTGTCCACTGGGGTGGGAGGATTCCAGCTGTTCAAGGCTGGGCTATGGGCTGGCAGTCAGGGCAGGTGGACTGAAGCTTTTCATGGTCCCTGCCAGTTCAGGGACTTCACTGGGGAGGGATTGGGCATTCTGAGATACATTCCCTCTGCACTGCATATCCAGAAAGCCCAGCCGGTGTGCTAGTGGCAGGGTGGGCATGACCACCTTTACAAATGAGGGAAATAAGGGCTAGAAAGGCCAAGTACCAGGTGGGTTTCTGAGAGTTTGAGGGCAGCCTGGTCTTCAGAGTGAGTTCCAAGACAGCCAGGCTGTTACACAGAGAAACCGTATCACGACAAACAAAGCAGCAACAACAACAAAAGAAAGATCAAGTAACTGCAGCACTTAAGGTCCTTCCCCATTGCTAATACAGAGACCACAGCCAGAGAGTGCAGAGTGGAACTTTGAGTCCTGTATGGGATGCCTTCATTACACCCCTCCCCCAGGGCTCAGGGCACGGCAGAAGGGGAGAGGCTGGAAGATTGGAAGAGCTAGTAGGCATGCAGGACACCAGGGAAACAGTGCTTTACAGACACAGCAGATGACATACAGTGACCTCACAGAGTCTGTGGCAACATGCACAGGTTCAAGCCAGATGGGGGCCCAGCACTGGGAGGGGAGGTAGACATGAGCTCCACTCTTAACCCAGAGCTTGTGTCCAGTGGACAGCTGCTTGCCAAGGAAACTACACTCAAGGGTAGGTGGCCAACACAAAACAAACTTAGTGGCGCTTTTGGAGGTTTTGTCTCAGAGTGCTTTGTTTGGGCATTTACAGGTATTTTGCTATGTATTATGGTTTCCAATCTTGGATTTTATCTGTGTGTACATGTGTTTTTCTTTTGATTTGATTGTTTTTCTTTGCCAGTTTTATATAGAGAAAGAAAGCATGGAGTTGGATTGGTGGGGGAGGTAGAGAGAATCTGGGAGGAGATGAGACAGATCAGAATATATTGTGTAGAAAAAATTATTTTCAATAAAAAATGAAAAGGAAAACAACAACTAATAAACAGAAAGCTCCCTCCCCAGTGTTCTCTGCAGACCTGGCTCTAACTGGGTTTGTCTTTTTCTTGCAGCTCAGCTGTGGCTGCCCCTGAGAAGAAGGCAGTGACGCCTGCTCCTCCAATGAAGAGGTGGGAGCTGTCCAAAGACCAGCCATACCTGTGACACTGCCCCAAGCTGCTTTGCCCGGTCCTCAGGGCCACCTGACTGCTTTTCCTCCTTGGATTTCCTGGGGAGAGTGTGACCTAATTTATAACAAATACACAGAGCTCACATTACCTCCATTCTCTTTTCTCAGTATTTATTGACTTGGTCTGTTGTTATTGTCTGTGGAGAGTGTGTGAGTCCATCCTGCAGCGTGTATGGAGGTGAGAGGACAACTCTGGGAATTGGTTTTCTCCTTTCTCCTTGTCGAGGCAGGGTCTTTTGTTTTTGCCATGCTGTGTCCTTCAGGCTAGCTGGCCCAAGAGTTTCTGGGCGGTGCTGCTCTCTGTTCCCCCCATCCTGCTGTAGGGGCGGTAGGTTACAGGTTTGAGTCACTGCATGTCATTTGTGGGTTCTGGGGGTGGAACTCAGCTAGCACTTTACTTGTGAGCCATCTTGCCAGTCCCCCTCCCCCCCTTTAAGATGAGGTCTTGGTGGGTGTTGTTGATCTGTACCTATAACCTCTGCATGTAGTAAGCTAGTGTGTGAATATCATTGCTGTCCTGTGCAATGACCCTGTAGGTCTGTGGATCCTGAAGGTAGATGTATGGAAAATGTGTGAATAAAACACTGACTTGAGTGTGGTGGTACAGTACTGAGGAGGCTGAGGCAGGAGGATTGCCAGTTTGAGGCCAGCTTGGGTTTTAGATTGAGAACCTATCTCAGTGTGACAAACAGAACTCTGCCGCTACAAGAAAGGGTGCTGATAGAGTTGAGAAGAGCCCTCTGGAAGCTGAGAGCACGGGGAGAGAGGTCACAGCCCTGACCAGTGTCAGCGCCTCAGAGGGAGCTGCAGATGCCTCAGCCCTAGCCTTCACTGAGGATGGTGGGCTTGGTTGGGGGAAAAGGACAAGCTAGATTCAGAAAGAAGGTCAAAGGGAGAGGAACAGTGATCACAGTGTCAGAGGCCACTGGGAAGGCAGCCAGAGAGCTCCTAGAGGCCCCAGGCAATATGTGGCATTCAAAATTTCTGTGTCATTTTAATGACTCTGATGAAATTCCATGCAGGAGTTGTGTGGGGAAGAGGTCTGTGTTCTTTCTGGGGCTGGGAACTGTTTAGAATGATTCGTGTTCATCCTGGACCAAGGACTGTTCATATTGACTTCCTTCCTTTCTTTCTTTCTTTCTTTCTTTCTTTCTTTCTTTCTTTCTTTCTTTCTTTCTTTCTCTCTTTCTCTCTTTCTCTCTTTCTCTCTTTCTCTCTTTCTCTCTTTCTCTCTTTCTCTCTCCCTCTCCTTCCTCCCTCTCTCCCTCCCCCTCCCTCCCTCCCTCCCTCCCTCCCTCCCTCCCTCCCTCCCTCCCTCCCTCCCTCCCTTCCTTCCTTCCTTCCTTCCTTCCTTCCTCCTTTCCTCCCTCCATCTCTCTTTCTTTCTTTCTTGGGGGTTTTTAAGACAGGGTTTCTCTATGTAGCTTTGGAGCCTATCCTGGCACTCTCCATAGACCAGGCTGGCCTCAAATTCACAGAGGTCCACTCTGCCTCCCTAGTGCTGAAATTAAAGGTGTGTACCACTACCGCCCAGCTTTTTTTTTTTTTTTGGTTTTTCGAGACAGGGTTTCTCTGGCTTTGGAGGCATTTTTTTTCTTTTAAGTTTTTCAAGACAGTTTGTCTGTGTGGCCCTGGCTGCCCTGGAACTCATTCTGTAGACCACACTGGCCTTAATCTTCCTGCCTCTGCTTGAGTGCTGGGATTAAAAGTATGTGCTGCTGTACCTGGCTGGTTTTTCTTTTCTTTTGAAACAGGGTCTTATGTAGCCCAAGCTGACCTCAAGTTGTCTGTGTATTTGAGGGTGACCTTGGGACTTCAGATCCTCCTGCCTCTGCCCCTCAGTGCTGGGATTACTAGTGTGTATCCTCAACCCTCATAGGATGCTGGGGATGGGAGGCAGGGGTTGGTGGATGCTAGGCACACTCTACCACTGAGTTCCACCCTCGGAACTTATTAAGTAGCCTAGGCTGCTTTTGAAGTTACCGAAGCCCTCCTTCCTCAGCCTCCACGTTCTGAGGTTACAGGAGTTAGTGTCCACATGTGGCTTCACCTCTTGAGCAGTTCTGGGAGGCCATCTTTGGCACTAAGCACTCTCTTAGGCTAATTGAGAACTGGCTGTGAACTCTAGGCAGTTTGCAAGTACATTGCATCGCTCTGTGCAAATCCAGGGTCTGCCCGGCTACCTCCTCCCCTCCCTCTCCTGGGCAGTCCTAGTTATCCTGTTTGCTTTCCTCTGCATCCGAACAACATTGCATGTTATTTCCTTTGCCTCTAGAAATCGGCGAGACAATACACACCAAAAGCAGTTATAACTTTAATGTTTTACAGTGGGGAGGCAGGCCATCTACTGGTAAATAGAACCTTTGTTTGAAATTCTCCACTTGAAGGCTACATTTTGGGAAACTTGCCCAGTGAGTGACAGTGACTGTCCCCAGCCCTGCTGGGAGGTAGTGTCACAGATTGTGAAGGTAGAACTGTGGGAAACCATGTGAAGAACTGGTGGGTGTGGTGGTACATGACTTTCCCCAGTACTTAGGAGGCCAAGTGGAGGGTCACCAGTTTCAGGCCAGCTTGGTATGCACTACCATCCCCAAATCACTAGCCATACTGGATAACAGACGAGGTACCCTCTGTATACAAGTTGGATGGCAGCCAATCCCGTGTCTATCTCCTACCGCCCAAGGATGAGGATGTCAGAAAAAAGTGTTTCTCAAGTCTGAGGTTGGATGGAATCTAAGTGGATGGGACAGCTCAGGCTGGAAGCCAGTAACTACGTTCATTTGTTCATTCCATCATTCCTTCACCACATGTGCCAGGCACCAAGGACACAGCAATCAGCAACCCAACATCTTGACCCATCTGCAGCTGGCATTCTAGTGGGTAATTAGACAATAAAGCGAAATAAACTAAATGAACTATAAAATCCATAGGTGGCACCAAAGCAGCTGGAGGAGGGACCTTCTGGGGAGTGTCTGCAGGTGTGGCTGCCATATTCATTGGGACCATTGTGCAGTTATATTTGCAGTAGCTTGCATGTGAAGTTGAGCTCAAAACTGATAAGTTCATTTATAGCTCTGGAAGTTTATTATTTCAAGTTGATGAGGTTATTTTCTTCTTAGTCCTGGGGAATTAAGAGTCTCCCGATTACTTAGGCAAGTGCTCTACCATTCAACTTTTCCCCTGGTTCCTCAGTGAGTCCTATTCTGAGATAGGGTGTCCTCTAATTGCCTAGGTTGGCCTTGATCTTGTGATCCTCTTCCTCAGCCAGTAGAGTGAGTAGCTGGGAGTAACAGGCTCAGGTCCCTAAACTCATCAGACTATCGCTGGGAAAAAGCCGGGAAAGAGCTGTACATTCTCGTTCCCTTGTATTCTGGTACTTACGGCCCAGGCTCGCAGGTGCCACTCCCTCTGCCTTTATGTGCGCGTGCGCGAGAGTCAGAGCGCATCCCTCAGACTGCGTGCTGCCGCGGCGGCTGGAGCGGTACGGCTAGCGGTTGGATGGCGCGGGGCGGAGCGGAGCGGGCAGCGGCCCTGGGCCTGGCGCTGCGGCTGTTGTTTGGTCTTGGACTAGGTCTAGAGGCTGTCCCGGCCCCGACCCCGACCCCGGCACCAGCCCTTGCCCTGACCCAGGTCCAGGTCTCGGGTGAGTGAACCCCCGTCCCTACACCTCTTTCGCCCCGCCCCCCGCCATGGCATCGCCTCACTATTGGTTGTGCCACCCATCCGTCTCAGACACTCCTCCAGCACGCGGGATTGGATTTAGCGTGCGGAAAGCCGGTCCTGGTGTGTCTGCTGTGTATGGGGACTTCTTGCGTGGGTGTCTCCTGTCTTCTGCTGCCCCGTGTCCCGCTTCCCGCTTCAGCCCTCTCTGTCCCCATGTCACCTCCAAGCCGTCCTTCAGCCCAGCGTGGGCTGGACGACTTAAACGTTTCTGATTTTGTTTGACCTCTTACCACGCACTTTCCTGCAGCAGGAAACCCTCGGCCCTGAGCAAGTGCTGCGGCTGTTCTTTGAGATCCAGAGCTTCCGTGTCTCCTTGGATGCCTGCCCCAGAGAATGGGAGAAAGGGCCCTGGAGTGTATTTATTTCACTTGTGATCCCCCATACGTGGACAGGCGCTTGCCCCGGGCAGGAACAGGATGTCCGTTTTATAGGACCGCACACTCTATAGGAAAATCGGCCGCTCAATAGGAAAAGTGTAGTTCTGGTTTAGGTTTTTATTATGTTATGATTTTTTCTTTGAGACAGGGCCTCACTTTGTAAGTCTGGCTGACCTGGAACTCGCCATGTAGACAAGGCTGGGCTTTAACTCCCAGAGATCGGCGTGGCTCTGCCTCCAGAGTGCTGGGATTAACGGCAGGCACTGGTTTCTGAGGCGGGGTCTCACTGTGTGACACAGGCTGGACTGTGCCTCCTGCCTTAGTCTCCCCAGCACAAGGGTTGTAGCTATGGGCCCCTTCATCTGGCAGAGGGTTTTGGATCTGTAGAGTACCAGCCTCCTCCCACTTTTGCCTGGTCTGTAGCTCCAAGCAGTCCTCTTGTCCAAGAGCAGGAGTTTCAGGTGAGCACCGTGATGCCTGGCCTTAGTGTTTACCTTACAGATGAGGAAACAGGCCGGGAGAAGAAATCATGGTCATCCTGACTCCTGTCTGATAAATTGCCTAACGTCAGGGGCTGCTCTGTTCTAGGCCCACTCCAAGGAAATTCAGGTCGTCTGGGAGAGGGGGTCTGAATTGTCAGGACCTTGGGTTGTTAGGTATGAAGAGGAGGCTATGCCTGAGGCAGGAAACGAAGGTGGCCAGGACTTGTCCTCCATCCTTCAGCTCCATCGAGTGTGTGGTATGCAAGAGTAATTGTGTTTGACGGCAGGGAGAGGGAGGGAGGGAGGGTCTCGGAAGCCCCGGTGTCAGGTGGGAAGCTCTGGAGCCCCCCTTCCCCCTTCCTTCTTGCTGGTTCCAAGTACCAGGTCCCTTTACTGCCTGCCCCTCTAGATCAGCAAACAGCCCTGGCCTCCCTGTTCAGAGTCCAGGACCCTCACATGACCTCTTGTCCACACTGTCAGGCACTGACCTGGGCAGGGTCATGAGGCCATGTCTCTGACCTTGCAGTCAATAGGAGGATCGCTGTTAGTAGTTAGGGGCTGTTATTTGTGGGAAGCAGAGCTTCCTGGGATGTAGGATCTAAGCTGAGATCTGAAGGCTGCAGAAGAATCACAGGTGTAGGGTAGAAGGGTGGGGTAGGGAGTGTTTGGGGGCTACCACTCAGTGGTGGAATGTTTGCCTAATGTGCAAAAGGGTCTAGAGAATCCCCCCTCACCTGGATGCAGAGTGGGAGGAGGGCAGGGAAGGGCCTCTAGGCTGAGGGAGACACATGCAGAGGCCCTGTGGTGAGATGAGCCAAGCCTCTTGGATGAACGGAGGAGGAGGCCAGGAGAGAGGGAGAGGGAGTGTGATGGAGGAGGAAGGGATTTAGATGTGGTTGGGAGAGAGTCTGGGTGCCAGGGGATAGTGGCTGATAAGAGTGGGCACTTGAGAGGGCTCTGATGCTCTCTCTGTCCTGGTAGAGATTAGGTACTAGGGGTCCAGTTACGAGGGGACTTGCTTAGGTCATGCAGAGTGTTTTAACCTGGGAAGAACTTAGGTGATGAGGCAACAGGGCTTGGTGACTAGGCGTGTTCGCTTGTTTTAAGGCAGCGTCTTCCTATGCAGCTCCGGCTGGCCTGGAACTCAGCATCCTCCTGCGTCCAAACTCCCGAGTGCTGTTATTACAGGCATACAGTACCATACCTGGCTTTTGGGCAGGTGTTCTGCCCAGGGTCTCAGTCTCCTCTTTGCTAAGCAGGTGTGTTAGAATAGGTCCCACTGACCTTGATCCTGAGCCTCTTGCTCAGTGTGTGTTGGGGAACGACTTCTCCCTCAGCCTGTTTAAACACGAGCTTGGAGATCTTCTGTGTAGATTGGCCATTTGGAGCCTAGTAAAGTCTCAAGGGTCAGTGAGACCAGGGTTTGAGTCCTGACTTGCCACCAGCTCTGTGTGCTCATAGAGTTTTGATACTGGAGACTGTAGCACCGGCTACCTAGCAGCATGCATGGACTTCCAGGGTCCAAACAGTGCTCTGTAGAGGGTGGCTGCCAATCTAGTTTCTGTACCCTCCTGCATGGCTTGTCTGTAGCTGTTTGCAACTCCTAACCATTGTCTCGGGGGATGTCACCCTGCCCCCCACCACCAGGCCTCATTTCTCTTCATCTCTCAGGTCTCAGAGCTGACTCTTGTCCGACAGACAACTTCCAGTGTATTGCCAGCGGCTACTGTGTGCCCCTCTCCTGGCGCTGTGATGGGGACCCAGACTGCTCTGATGGCAGTGATGAGGAGGAGTGTAGTAAGTGGCCATCCCCGGAGACGGGTTTCAGAATGGGAGCTTGGACTGGGGTGAGGGGTTCTGAAAAGTTACGGGGGTGGGGATTATGAAAAGGCTGTGGTTATAGGGCTGGGTGACTGGCAGAGCAGTCGAGGCGGAGTGTACGAGGCTAGACTGTCGGGCTTGCCTTTAGTCTCAGCACTCAGGAGGCAGACGCAGGCAGGTGTCTCTAAGTTTGAGGCCAGCTGTTGTACAGAGAGTTCCAGGCCAACCAGAGCGCCATAGGAAGACCTTGCCTGAGATCAGAAACGGAAAAGGAAAGAGCTGGAGTCTAAGGCAGGTGTGTAGGGAGGTTGAACACGTGAAGGAGGAAACTGTAGGAAGACTAGACATTGGAAGGTGGGATTCACAAGAATAGCAGGTAGAGCCGGGCGTTGGTGGCGCACGCCTTTAATCCCAGCACTCGGGAGGCAGAGGCAGGCGGATCTCTGTGAGTTCGAGGTCAGCCTGGTCTACAGAGCGAGTTCCAGGACAGCCTCCAAAGCCACAGAGAAACCCTGTCTCGAAAAACCAAAAAAAAAAAAAAAAAAAAAAAAGAATAGCAGGTAGAGACTTTACACAGGGCAAGCCTTTATATACAGGGTCAGCTTTTTTTTTTTTTTTTTAATTTTATTTAGTGTGTGTGTCTGGGTATGTGTGTGTGTAGGTGTGTTTGCCAGCATGTTGTGTGTGCAGGGAGGCCAGAGGTTGACTTGGGTGTCTTCCTCTGTTGCTCTCCGCCTTACTTTTTAAGACCATCTTTCACTAAAATTGGGGCTTCCAGCTTCAGCCCAAGAGCCTCCCAGGATCCACCTATCTCCACTCAGCATTGTGACTAGGTTTGTGCACTGCTGCACCTGGCGTTTCCATGGGTACTGGGGCTCAAGCTTGTGCTGCAAGCATTTACTCACTGAGTTATCTACTCAGCCCTGGGAAAACTTTTATTTTGTATATTCCTGGCTGGCCTGAAACTCTCTATATAGACTAGGCTGGCTTCAAGCTCACAAGAGATCTCCCTGCCTCCTGAGTGCCAGGAGTATAGTGAGGGAACACTCCCAGCCCAGTCCGCTGCTTTTACAAGCTAAGATTTAGAGAGAATTGGGCAACCGAAATACTGGCTTCCTTTTTTTTTTTTTTTGTGGGTTTCTCAGCATAGCCCTGATTGTCTTAGAACTCACTGTGTAGGCTACACTGGCCTTAAACTCAGGGACCCACTCTCCTCTGCCTCTTGAGTTTTGGGAGTAAAGGTACGCATCACCATGCCCGTTATACTGGGCTTTCTTGCTTGGGTGTTTGGAACCTGATTGACCATATGTTTCAGGGATTGAGCCGTGTGCTGAGAAAGGGCAATGCCACCCACTGGCTACCCTTCCTTGCTCCTGTGACAACATCCGTGGTTGTCCTGCTGACTCTGCCAAGAGCCTTCTCAACTGCAGCCACCGGCCCTGTCAGGAGGGCGAGCTGCGTTGCATGCTGGGTGGTATGTGTTTCCCACACACATGGCGCTGTGATGGCCACTCAGACTGTCCTGACTCCAGTGATGAGCTCAGCTGTGGTATGTGTTCTGGGATCTTGGAACACCTGTGTGGGAGGGGAGGGCTGGCAGTTTGTTAACCTCCCATGTGTAACTAGGTTGAGACTGTGAACACATGCATCCTCCCAGGCCTTCATCCCTGTGGTGGAGAACAAGACATCATCCACCACCTCTGTTCAGTCCTAGATCAGGATGAGTTCTAAGAGTTGGCACCTGAAACCCCTGTGTGCCCCACTGCTAAGCCTCTCAATTACTAATGCCTGGGCTTATTGCAGACACCAACACAGAAACTAACAAGATCTCCCAGGAGGAGAATGCTACAACTACAAGGACTCTGGCCCAGGAGAATGAGACCTCTCTCAGGAATGCAACAGTTGCCTCTGCTGGGGACTCTTCCCGAAACACAAATGCCTATGGGGTTATTGCAGCTGCTGGTAAGATAGGCTTTCCCATGTGAGGAGTTCGGGGTGATCGGAGGGGGCACACAGTAGGGCTGCCCACATACTAGCATCGATAGCTTCTACCTTCCTTGCCCCATCCCTCTGACCATTTGTCTGTCCCCCCCTCCCCCACAGGGGTGTTGAGTGCTATCCTGGTTTCTGCCACTCTCCTCATATTGTTACGACTCCGAAGTCAGGGTTACCTGCACCCATCAGGGCTGTTGGTGGCTGTGAAGGAGTCTCTGCTGCTGTCAGAAAGGAAAACCTCACTGATCTGAGGACACATGGTCACCACCTGGCCCCAAGTGCAGTCAGACCGGGGCAAAGCCACAGTGGGACATGCAGGCAGCTGCTGGCTTCTCGAGACCTGGGCTCTTTTGGCCACAGAGAACTTTGATTTTAAGCTCCTACAGATGTGGTCCTAGAGACTGGGGGTCCTCAGATATTCCCCTTGTCTGCGAGGAGCTTGGATGGAGAACTGCTATAGCCAGGACTGAGGGGCAGGCCCCAGGATGGCTCCAAGAAACGGGGCTGCTCTGGGTTAGACACTCCTGCTGCTCACACTGATGGGTGGTGATTAAAGTTTCTTTACCTCCTCTGCCTGCCTTGAGCCTCTCTTTCCCTTGGCTTGGGCAGCCTGGGGTCTCTTCTGGATCTCCTTTGACCCTCAAAGAGGGAGCCTTCAGCCAAGAGAACGTGGGACTGTGTTCTAGACACGTCTTCCACTACTCTGCCTCCTGCAGGAAATGGAGCTGGTGTTGAGTCCAGCTGTGTTAACAGTGGGCTTAACGGAAGAGGAGGAGAGCTGAGGTGCTGTCTCCTCACTGGGGACTCCTCTGTCAATGGCTGCTGCTTCTGTGACATGGAAGCTGGGCAATCCTGATTTGAACTTGGCCATTCCCTGTCGTTGCAAGGCCATAATCCCAGCCCATGGAAAGGGGGTGGGAGAATTAGAACAGGCCGATGGTACATACCTGTAATCCCAGCACTGGGGAGGTTAAGGCACGGAGATCTGGAGTTCAAGGAATGTCTGGGCTGTACAGGGAGACCTTGTTTCCTTTTTTTTCCCAGTTGTGAGAGAGTTCTGTTCTAGGCTAGCAGGTTGTTTACTGTCTAGCAGTGAGTTAGCTATGGTAGGGAGGGGCTGCCCCCAGATGGTAATTGAGGTTCCAGATGCCTGAGCATGAACACTACAAAGAATAAGAAAATGCAGTTAACATACAGCTTGACTTCTGAGTAACAAGGCAAAGCTCTTCTCAGATTCTTAGATTCTTAGCCCTTAAATTCCTAAGTGAATTGGCCGAGACTGTTGGAGTGTCATCGTGGTGTGTGTGTGTCGTTGTCGTCCCCCCCCCCCACACTGGCAGAGGAGATATGTCTGTGGTGGCTCCTATTAATCTGGGGTCTTATGATTATCAGAGCTCTGAGGCTGAGCAAGCAAGAGGACCTGAGTTCAGATCCCTTGTAGAACGCTGGATTTGCCTGGGATCTTATTGCTGAGGGTGGGCATGAAGACAGGAAGATTCTAGGCACTTGCTGGCCAGATACTCTAACCTGAGAGCTTGAGATTCAGCGAGAAACCCTGTCTCAAAAATAAAGGGAGGGTACTGGGGTTACGTCTCAGTGTCTAAAGCACTTGTACATGCATGGAAAGATAGTTTGGTTCCCCTAAACCCATGTAAATGGCTGGGTGAGTCCTGCCTGTAATTCTAGCCTCAAGAGGCCGGGGCAGGACCCCAGTGTAGGATGACTAGTGAGATCCTGCCTCATTGAATATGTTGGAAGAATAATCCAGGATGATTCCTGTCACCAACCTCAGGTGTCCACATGCAGCTGCATGCATAGATGTGTATGTGGGCTTTTTAATGTGTGCCTACATACAGGCATACATACAAACTCCCCCCCCCCACACCTTTTAACCCCAGACTTCAATATACATGTGCATACATATATACTTGCACACATGAACCTACACATACAACTACATACATGCACACACACACTTTCCCTCCCTCCCTCCCTCCCTCCCTCCCTCCCTCCCTCCCTCCCTCCCTCCCTTCCTCTCCTCCCTTTCTCCCCCCTCTCTCTTTCTCTCTCTCTCTCTCTCTCTCTCTCTCTCTCTCTCTCTCTCTCTCTCTCTCTCTTGCTCCTACCCACCCCCACGCACACACACAAATCTCAACAAAAAGGCTTCCTGGAGCTCTGGTGCCTGGGGCCTGGTAGGCAGTAATTGATAGAGATGCTGGGTACAGAAGGAGGCAGTGTGACCCAGGAAGGCTTCTGAAGGTGGGAACTGCTTTGGCTCTGGGACTCTGCTCTTCTGGTCCTTTACAGGGGAAGGTGGATAAAGCAGAGTCTGGATTTGGGCAGTGTGTTGGGGCTGGGTGTTTGAAATAGCAGTTGATACTTCAGCCAGGATGGGGGTTCATTGACTGATGGTAGAGCCTAATGGAGGTATGTGAGAAACAAGGCTTTCCTTGGCCTTATATACTGACACTTGGACCCCCAGTTTGACCAACAGAGTATTGTAGAGAGAACCACAGTAGGCCATTTCCAGCTGAGAGAAAAGCACTTCTGTAACTTCAGCCTGTAGACAGGAATATTTTGAACTTCAGGCCAGCTTGGACCACATAGTGAGATCCTATTTATCATCTGACTGTCTGTCTATATTTGCCTGAAATTAGAGAGATGAGATGATGATCTTTGCTTTCAGGATAGTTAAGGGAGAAAGGCTATCCTTTTACCTTTATTTATGCACTATGCCTGTTAGCCACAGGCCACAGTTGGCCAGGATGGTGGTGTGGTCCATGTTGGGCTATAAATCCACCTGTTACCTGTGCAGACATCTGGGATCTGGGAGTGTTTGGGTTCTCATTGGAGCAAACTGCCTGATAGTTGGTGGTTCCAAACAACCTGCAATGGTGTTCATATATTTCACTTGAATAGAGTGTTGCTGGTGTTTTCTTTCTAGCCTGGTCCTGTGGCTGCTTCAGCCCCAAATGATATAAACTGTTGACTGACGACTAGGGCTTCTTACCCATAACTACTAATCCATGTATTTCTACATGGTCTTATCTAACTAGAGAATGCCTGGCACATCCTATCCTCCTGGTCTCTTTTTTTTTTTTTTTTTTTTTTTTTTTTTTTTGAATTAAGAATTTTTTTTAATCATTTTTTATTTTAATTTTAAATAGCTTGTTTCACATGTCAATCCCAGTTCCCTCTCCCTCCCCTCCTCCCGCACTCCCCTTCCACCCTCCCTCCCACCCTATTGCCAAATCCCTCCACATAGGGGATGTCTAGAGTCTATCATTTCACTCTTGGTAGGGTCAAGGCACTCCCCTAAGAGTCCAGGCTGAGAGAGCATCTCTCTTTGTGCCATAGGCACATGAAGACAGATTGTATACCAGGGATAGACACTGATCCACAGCTCAGAGCCCCATAGGTTGCCCAGGCCTTCTCACTGACACTCACATTTGGGGGGTCCAGATCAGTCCCATTCTGGCCTCCCCACTGTCGGTCTGGGGTCCAAGAGCACTCCCCTGTTCAGATCAGCCGTCTCTGCTGGTTTTGCCAGCCCATTCCTTGCCAATTTGCTCATCACTCCTCTCTCTCTGTCACTGGGTTCCTTGGGTTCAGTTCAGTGCTTAGTTGTGTGTTTGCCTCTGCTTCCATCAGTCCCAGGATGAAGGCTCCCGGATAGTTATAGACATCAAGTTCATTATCAGGAATGGGCATTCGAGGTGGTCCTTCCACTATTGCTTAGCTTGCCAATTGATGTTATACCTTTAGATCACTCGAGGTCACTCTGGTGCCTGATCTGTCTTCGATCCTATGATTCCCTCTTCCCCTATTTTACCCCCACCCCCTCAACTTCCTGTTCCCCCATGACCAACTCCCTTCCTCTTTACCCCCTCTACTCTTCCCAGGTCCCACTACCCCCCTCGCCCTGTTCCCCATCCATTCAGAGGATCTTGTCTCCATCCTCTTCTCTTGGGTACTATGCATATATGCATATCTTTTAGGTTCTTTCCTGTTTCCCAGACTCTCTATCTGTGGAAGTGCAGACTGGCACTATCCTGATCCATATTTAAAATCCATATATGAGTGAGTACATACCATGTTTGTCTTTTTGCGACTGGGTTACCTCACTCAGGATGGTTTCTTCCAGTGCTATCCATTTCCCTGCGAATTTCAAGATTCCATTGTTTTTTTCTGCTGAGTAATACTCCATTGTGTAAATGTACCACATTTTCTCTATCCACTCTTCAGTTGAGGGGCATCTAGGTTGCTTCCAGGTTCTGGCTATTACAAACAATGCTGCTATGAACATAGTGGAGCAGATGCCCTTGTTGTATGAACCTGCCTCATTTGGATAAATGCCTAAGAGTGGAATTGCTGGGTCTAGTGGTAGATTAATTCCCATTTTCCTGAGGAATCTCCATACTGATTTCCAAAGAGGCTGTATGAGTCGGCATTCCCACCAGCAATGGAGGAGTGATCCTCTCTCTCCACATCCTCTCCAGCATAAATTGTCTTCGGTGTTTTTGATTCTAGCCATTCTGACAGGAGTAAGATGGTATCTCAGAGTTGTTTTGATTTGCATTTCCCTGATGGCTAAGGATGTTGAGCACTTTCTTAAGTGTCTCTTGGCCATTTTAGCCTCCTCTACTGAGAATTCTCTATTTAGCTCTGTACCCCACCTTTCAAGTGGATCCTTTGGTGTTTTGGAGACTTGTTTCTTGAGTTCTTTGTAAATTTTGGAGATTAGCCCTCTGTCAGATGTAGGGTTAGTGAATATCTTTTCCCATTCTGTGGCCTGCCTTTTTGTCTTTTTGATTGTGTCCTTTGCCTTACAAAAGCTTTTTAGTTTCAGAAGGTCCCATTTGTTAATTGTTGATCTCAGTGCCTGTGCCACTGGTGTTATGTTTAGGAAGTGGTCTCCTGTACCAACTCGTTGAAGAGTATCTCCCACTTTCTCTTCTAAAAGTTTCAGTGTGGCTGGATGTATGTTGAGATCTTTGATCCATTTGGACTTAAGTTTTGTACAAGGCGATAAACATGGATCTATCTGCAGTCTTCTGCATACCATTACCCAGTTATGCCAGCACCATTTGTTGAAGATGCTTTCTTTTTTCCACTGTACAGTTTTAGCTTCTTTGTCAAAAATCAGGTGTTCATAGGTGTGTGGGTTAAAATTAGGGCTTTCGATTCGGTTCCATTGGTCTACCTGCCTATTTTTGTGCCAATACCAAGCTGTTTTCAGGACTATAGCTCTATAATAGAGCTTGAAATCAGGTATGGTGATGCCTCCTGAAGTTCCTTTATTGTATAGGGATGTTTTGGCTATCCTGGGCCTTTTGTTTTTCCATATAAAGTTGATTAATGATCTTTCCAGGTCCTTGAAGAATTGTGATGGAATTTTGATAGGGATTGCATTGAATCTATAGACTGCTTTTGGCAAGATTGCCATTTTTATTATGTTGATCCTACCAATCCAAGAGCATGGGAGATCTTTCCATTTTCTGGTATCTTCTTTGATTTCTTTCTTCAAAGACACAAAGTTTTTGATATACAGGTCTTTCACTTCCTTGGTTA